GAAAGACCAGGAAGGGACCAAGGCATATTAAGGCAATTATCATCAATGATAACATTAACACCAATGATTTACTGCCCACCTTCCGTGTGCCAGGTATGGTACTAAGCACTTGGCCTTCACTGTCTTATTTAGCACACCTCCAGAAAATATGTGCCATGAGAACAATGACTTCCATCGGGAGCTGGACACACAGTAGGTGTCTGGAACACAGGAGGTGCTCAAACATTTTGAACACATGAATAAGGAAGTAGTCCCATGAAGCAAGTATTATCATCTCCATCTAGAAAAGTGAACAAGGAAACTGATGGTCAGAGAGGTTACACAGCTAGTGCGTGCCTGAGTCAGGGCACCTGAGTCCCAGACCCAGGTCTGCTGCGTGCTGGAGGGTCACGGAGGAGGGTAGATCCCTCTGCCTTCAGGGAGATTGCTGTCTGATTGGCTTCACCCACACCCTCCCGCGGGCCTGCCAGGTTGGCTATTTATGGCTCAGGGAGGAGGTCCAGTGAAGCTCCCCTCATAAATTATAAAGAGAGACACATGTGGGTCAGGATTGGGGAATTCAGTGCACGCGGGATCCCCAGGAATCTTGCTCAGTCTCATCTGGGATTTTCCTTCTCTTCCCTAGGAGACTCACCGACTCAGGCAGGGAGCATTTACTGTGTTTGCATAAGGAGCTCCTGTGGGGCATCTCCCGGTCCTGCCGGAGATGCTCGCCTCCTCCCCAGCCCCTGACCATCACCACGCTCCCTTTCCTACAGCTGGAGTTCCTAGCCCTGACTCACGGCTACTTGGAGGCAACTTTCCTTGCCTTATCATGCATACCTGTGGCGTCTGAACGAGCAAGCTTTGGAAAACGCTATGCATTTTGTGCCTTTCAGATCCGGTCCTTATTCAGGCGCTGGCAATCCCTCAGGTATGTTCTGAGCGTATTGACCCTTTCCTTGGAGATGTGGCTCTGAATGGTCGTTAGTAAACTTTCATAATGCAGCGATGCCCCATCTCTGAACAACCCCTGGTATTTGTTTTTGAGTACTTGAGCCTATTTATTTTTCAGCATTCCATCCCCTTTGTCACTGCCAGAATGTCACTTAATTGTCATTTGCTTCCGATGGCCCCTAGCAGTTTTCTCCCTCCTAATTCAGTGCTTTGAATCTCTGAGCTGGTGAGTTTGAGCGTCCTTTCTAAGTAACCTGGTGGGAAGGGAGGGCCAGCCTGCTTACTTCTGTAAATAAACTATATGAGTTTTACTGCAAGGACGGGGAGCCACCAATTCAGACTGTTTGATGGCTTGTGTGTCGGTTTATTCACAGACCATGGAGAGAGCTGGATATCACACGTCAGCTCTCCATATGCAAGAGGTCACTTCAGGCATCTTTTGGTACCTGCCCAGAAAGGCTCCGTACACACTTGCTTCCTGGTGTGGTGAAGGGTTTGGCTCCTCTTCTGGCGATTCTTCTGCCTGACCTCCTCCCCACCCCACAAACAGCAGCAGCAGGAGACTGCTGGTGGGGGCGGGGGGCGGGGGAGAAGACACGGGAACCCAGAAGCCGCAGGATGGAAGCCCACTGCTGACAGGGTGTCTGGCCTCAAATTACACCGTATCAGAGCTCGGGCACAAAATTAGCAGCAGTGTTCGGTGTACGAGGAGCCAGACAAAATAGCCATATTCAGCAGAACCACGGGCAGGGTCAGAAGAAAGGGAGAGGAGTGGGGGAGGGGAGAGCTGCCCCATCGCAGGCCCTGGGCCCTTCTCTGGACAACCTCGTCCTCCGGGCCCTTCCCTGGACAACCTCGTCCCCCGCTGCAGAGGCGGCTGCCCGGTGGTGAGTCAGGGTCACAGGAGGGTTCTTGGGGATGGAGGGAGTGAGGGATGGGAAGGCAAGACCTTGAGAAACCCGGGAAGATGGACTTGAGGACTTGTCCTACCCAACACACACACACAAACACACACACACACAAATGGAAAATTTTAAACAAGATTTTAAAATTCCCATGTCTAGACACTTTTCATGCATTTTTGTCATTAATTCTTATGAGAACCCCATTCAGTAAATCTATTTTACAGGTGAATAAAGAAAGGATCAAAAAAGACACTTGAGCTTGTCCAAGTTCAGGTGCTATAAGTGCATTCACGTCTATGCTTATTACGTGCCCACTTAGATTCCAGCATTTAAATACATTCTCTCAAACTCACGATGTCACGACTATACACATCCCACGCTCTTGGACAGACCCAGCATAAACACGCCCACACTTGCCCAGCACGTTTATATGCAATACATGTTTTCAACTCTACCCATGTGATGGTCACACCATCACACGCCGGCGCTGGATCTCACTTTCTTGCTAAAATTGTTGTCACCTCTTGTCATTCCCGACCAGCTCCAGGCCAGCGTCCTCCTTGTCCCCAGCCCCGGCTAGGTGCTTGCACCTCTTAGAGCTCACAGGCACCTGCCACACCTGCCACTTGTCACCCTGTCCTGCTCATTTGTTTCATCCTCCAGACGACGGGCCGGAGTCATTGTTTGTATGTTTCTCGTTCCTCGGGTGTGAAATCTTCCGTATGCTGGGTCCATAAGCTGTCTTTCATAGTGGAGGGGATTCTTTTCACGATTTGTCATTTGGGCCCGTGAGCCCGCAGGGCAGTTTTGTTACTGCCCTGCAGGCTCATGGGCTCCAAACTATTTTGATGCAATGCTTCAGCCTGGGGTTTCTAGGGGTATATTCTGCGGGCGGCTTAGATCCTGGCATGACACCAGTGCATGCTTGAGGCTTGAGGCTCTGATCTGTACATGCCTCTTGTTCCACCCATGGCCTGGGAACGAATCTCAGTTCCTGCAGTGACCTTAGCCTGATAGCTGAGGCATTCTGCTCCTCTAATCGGTTCTGACACCCCACTTCAGTCTAGGAACTCAGATTTGAGCTTCCTGCCAACAGCAAGACCCAAAGCCTGGACCTAGTGCCAGATGAGGCATTAAAGTCCCAGCCCTACAAACCCATATCCACCTTTGGTCTTCCCACTGGGTGCGGGGCGCCTCTCACTGGTATAGGTTCCCCCTCTCTTAGAATCTGAAAATCACACTTTCTTGCCTTTGAGCTGGGCTCTATATGTTTAAGATACTTAAAAATATATTGTACGGTGTTTTTCATGTGCCTGGAGTAGGATGGGAAATTTCAGCTTGTGTTCACCCTGTTAATTTATGTCTGTATTCCAAATGCCTCGCTCGATAAATAGCTGTCGATTGGACATCTCTCTCCATTTCTCTCCTTTCTGTCCTCTCCTCCATCCTTCTCCAACACTGTCCCTACCTCACAAGGAGTCTGTAAAGGATCTTGGTTTCAGTAGAAGCCTTGGCCCTGGGCTGGCTGGCTGGAGAGGGCAAACCTCACTGGGTCAGGGCCGTAGTGCTGGGCTCAGGGCATACGCCCCTCTGGGGACTCTGGCTCCTTTCTGAACTCTATCTGGGGCAGGGGATCCCTTGGGGTGGCTGAGGGATGAGGTTCAGAGGAAGGGTTTGAGGCTGGAGCCAGACAGCCCCGGGGATCCTGAGAGTGGCTCCTGTCCCCAGTCCCTTCGTCTGGGAAATGACAATGAGAAATCCTCGTTTCGCGCTCCACTGGGCTGGCTCTGTCCCTGCAGACTCCTGTCCCAGTCCTGGGGGTTCCTAATTCAGCATGGGCTTGGGGAAGAGAGAGTCAGAAGGGCCCGGAAGTCTCAGTGGCTCCCTCATCTACATCCTCTCCCTGCTGCCATTCTGCTTCGCATCGGTGATGCATGAGTGAGTGTGAATGTGAACAAGAGTGTGTGAGAGTGTGTGTGGGTGTGTGCATGTGTGTGTGTGACTGGGGTTACTGCGTGTGGCTGTGAACTTCTTCTTTAGAGAGCTCCCTTCAAAATGCAATAGCCGAACCTGTTGGAGGAACCACAGAATCACCAGCTGGAAGCATTGTCTTCATTCGCTGAGCGCTCGCAATGTGCTAGGCGCTGTGCCAGCTGGGAAGATAGTCACTACACATATAAATACACAGAGATGAAATCACAATAGTTCCAAATGCTCTGAAGTAAAAGTACAGGACAGGGATCTGGCCAAGAATAGCATAGGGAGGGTGAGATATTTGGGGTGAGGGTTTAGGAAAGGCCTCCCTAAAGGGATGACTTCCAAGTTGAGCCTCAAAGATGGCAGGGAACAGCATTCCACCAGGGGAACAGCATGCACAAAGGCCCAGATGGGAAGACATCTTGGAACTTTCTAGAAATGTGGGAAGGAAATGGCCCAGGAAAGGGACTGGGAAAGCCAGCAGGGTGCCAGAGCTTCAGAGGCAGGCAGGGCTAGAAGTCTGGACTTTCTCCTAAGTGCACAGTGAAGCAGTTAAAGAGTTTAAGTAGGGAAGGCTGTGATCAGGTTTGCAATGTAAAGCTCACTCTGGTGGGCAGCCGGGTAGGGAGCATTGGCTGTGCCAGGCCCTGGCAGGCCCGGGAACCTAGGGATGAGAAAAGTACAGAGCGGAGCTCCAGGAGAGGGAGACGACAAAAGCATAAACCACCCTTCACAGTCTAATATGACACAGGTGCCCAGGAGCACCACCCAAATTTGGAGGACCAGGGAGGCTTCCTGGAGGAGGTGGCATTTGAGCTGGGCTTGAGGGATGGCAGGCAAGGTGGAGGCCAACACTCCAGGCCTGGGAAATGGCTTTGGCAAAGTCTCAGCAGTGAGGTGGTGGGGGTTGAGTTTGATGAGCCGGTGGATGTGAAATGACTCCTCAAGGTTGTAAGTCCCCCTGGTGGCTGAGCCAGCACTGGGACCCCATCTCTGATGGGAGTGGGGCTCTGTGATGCCCAGCCGAGGCCTGGCACCAAGAACTAACACTGAGGAAGTCCCTGAAGCCCCCAGATCATTGGACTCCTGCACACCCAGCGTCAGAGGTTGCGCACTTCCCCAATTGTGGTGCAGCTGGTGGGGGAAGAGGAAGTGCGGGCCACAGGCCAGACCCTGAGAGCCGGGAGGAGGAGCCTCTTCTAAAATCAAGAGGAGTCAGGGTGGGGCCTCCCCAAAGGCAGCTCCTGGAGGCTCCTGGGACCACAGCTGAGACACAGGGGGGCTGGAGGGAAGTGAGAGGAGAACTCAGCCTGGGCCCAGCTGAGCAAGACCCTCTGCCACCCACTCCCCTGGACCACTGGCAGCCATGGCTGTGGCTCAGCAGCTGCGGGCTGAGAGGTGAGTGTGGGGGCGCTTCCCTCCCAGGGCCTCCTCACTGCTCCCGGCAGGCCTCGGGGGGATGGAGGCCGGCCCTCCCGCAACACTTATCAATGTCAAAAGTTGAGGGGCTGGAGTTGAGTCAGAACCCAAATACTCAGAAATGAAGATTCTTAAAACTGTTTTGAGGAAACTCCAAATAGTGCACAGACCAAGAGGCTCAGAGAGGGGGAGTGACTTTCCCAGGGTCACGCACAAGTGGATGGCGGAGTCTGGATGGGGAACTCAGGTGTCCTGGGGCCCAAGCTGGGCCTCGCTGCACCGCATTGCTCAGTAATGGCTTTTCATCTTCTGTTCAGAGTCACAGAATCTAGCTCGTTCTCCCTTTTTACCCAGGGCTTGGCTCAAATGTCACCTCCTCCAAGCAGCCTTCCCTGACAGCTCCCTCTGAACCCTCGCCATGTTTCCTTTTCCTGTCGAGTCCTTACACTACTGGCATATTATTTTATACACACTTGTTTGTTTTCTTTATCACTGGCTCCTCCATTAGAAGCAAGTTCCACACAGTTTGTCTCTTTTGGTCTCTGTTGTACCCCCCGGGGGCGTGAGCAATGCCAGCCTAGACTAAGTGCTCAGTAAATGCTGCTGAATGAATGAATGTATGAATGGATTGATCTTTGAGCTGGAAAATGTCCTTAGATCCTTCTAGTCCAATCCTGTCATCATATGGATGAGGACACTGAGCCCCAGGGAGAATAAAGTATTTGCTCGGGATCACGTGGAGTGAGAGGCAGGGCTGGGGCTTGGAGCAAGCCTCGCCAGGGCCTAGTGTGGTTTCTCGGGAGGTCTTTTCTGAGTATGTCCTCTGTTGCCTGGCCTGTGCTCCAAGCTTTGGGGGAACCCAAGGACACAGGGCTTGTCTCCTTCCCTCCTGGAGTGGAACAGCAGGTGACATCAGGGAAGGAGAGTGCTAACAGTGTGGAGGTTACCTGCAGGGTCACCAGAGATAGGTCAGGCTGGCCTGGGCCAGAGTTAACAGCAGGGGGCCCATGGTGGAGTCTGGGGCCAGGAGTGGAGCCGGGGGTGGAATTCCCAAAGGTCAAATGGCAGAAGGAAGTCTTGTCAGTATGCATGGAGGCAGGGGCAGCAGAAACCACTATTTGGAGAGTGAATCAAGAATGGCCTTCGAAAGCCACGGAGGGCGGTGCTGGGGGCTGGGGTGAGGTCGTCCCACCAGATCCCAGCCCCTCTGGTCCACAGGTTCTCATCAGAGACTGTTCCGGCACACGAGCCCGAGCCTCCGGGAAGCAGCTGCTGTTTGAGGCTGGTGGCACTTCCTGTTTTCAGGGCACATGGGCCACACAGGGGATTCCCAGAGCTGGCCACCTGGACAGTGGGTTCCCTCCCTCCCACTCCCCATCCCTCTTCAGCCACCCTTGCTCCTTCACAGAAGAAAGGCGCCCTGCTCCCCTCCTTCACGGGGCCAGAGAGCCAGGCCCTGGGGGTCCCTTGGCCTCCCTGCACCTCAGATGTCTATTTGAAGGTGGTCCCTCAATGCTTGAGGCAGAAGCGGAGGATCCGATGGAGGTTGATGGATTTCGGCAGCAGGACTTTCTAAGGCCTGAGATGTCTAAGATGGCAAGGACTGCCATGAGGATAGCGACTTTGCTTCCAACAAACATGTTTTGAGCACCTACTGTATGCAGCAGGCACAAAACCTGAATGGGCTGTCGCCCCATGGTCTTTCCGCCCCTCGTTCAGGCTCCAAAATGGACTTCTCATGAACAACATAAGCCCATGGGCCCTGAGTCGACTTCAGCTTGGAGGGGCCCTGGCTCAGGTCTCTAGGGGAGCGGCTGGTCGATTCCAGCTGGGTTTGCGGCACCCCTGTCCTTGCCCCGCCCCAGTGCAGCAGCTTCCTGGCTCCGGGGACCCCTCCCTTCCTCCAGGCCGCCAGGCCATTCCCACAAAGCCTTCCAGCGGACTTGCTGAAACACAGATGCAGGGAGTGCCCCTGGGTGGAGCGCCTACCAGGTAACAGTGCTGTTCTGGGCGCTGGGGATGCAGCAGTGAGCAGCGCCCCTGTTCTCATGGGGATTCTCCAGCTGTGCTTTTACAGATATGACCTCCGAACCCTCCAAGGATGTAACTACTTCTACAGTCCCCATTTTGGAGTGGGGAAGGGGCTGGAGCACAGAGAGGAGTCTTTCCAAGTCTGTTGACCTTGGCAATGGCAGAGCGGGGACCTGGGTCTTCATCTTTCACCTGTGCCCTCCTGCTCTGTGACACACAGGCCCGCTGATACCCTCCCGACATAACCCCTTCATCCCACCACCCCAGGGCGAGGCACAAGGGCCCTCTGTGAGCAGACCCTGCCTGTCTTGCTGGCTTCATCCCTCATAACGTGCCCCCTCTTGCACGACTGGGGCCTTTGCCCTCACTCTTTCCCTTGCCTGCTGTCATCCTGGGACCAATTCTTCTTTGTTTCTTCCATTGACCTGGTGCCACTTCTTCTGGGAAGCCCTCCCTGACCACCTTCGGTCTGAGAGAGCCTTGCCCTCCTACATGCACAGCATCTTGCTTCTCTCTCTGACAAATGTCACCCCCATCTTAGAAGTGTCTGCTTGCCGTGCTCTCTTGCCCACAGCCTCACTGATCCTTTGAGCGAATATAACGGCCAGGCTTCTGTTGTAGCTACAAACATCATGTGCTTTTCCTTCACGGCTTCTGTGACCACTGAAATTACGTAATTATTTGTTTAGTGTCCAACTCCTGCGCTCAGCCATGAGACCCAGGAAGGCAGAGGCCATGTCCTAATGTTCTTAGAACCGTGTCTGAGCTACAATCGGGGCTAACAAGGGTGTGTGATTTTATTATTTCTTCGGATGGGGAAACTGAGAGGGGCTGGGATTTTTTTAATTGATTTGGTTTTTTTTAATTCTTATTTTTTAGTTGAAGTGTAGTTGATTTAAAATGTTAGTTTCAGGTGCACAGCAAAGTGATTCAGTTATAGATATATATATATATATATATATATATTTATATTTTTTTTTCAGATTTTTTTTCCATTACAGCTCATTACAAGAAACTGACTATAGTTCCCTGTGCTATACAGTAGGTCCTTGTTGTTTATCTGTTTTATATGTAGCCATGTGCATCTGTTAATTGAGAGGCTGGGAATTTATCTGCGTTCACACAGCAAGCTGCCAGAAGCTTCCAACCAGGGCCAGTGCAGCAGAGTCTGGGAACAAAATTCTGGAGCCATATTCTAGCTTCTTGACTTCTTCGGGCAAATTCGTTAGCCCCTCTGTGCCTCAGTTTCCCTGCCTGTAAAAAGGTGACATTGTCTAGAAGAGCACCTGGTGCTTGGTGTTCACCCAGGAAATAGTTAACTGCAGTTATTATGACCCAACCTGCCTGATCCCCTGTGAAGGGCCATTTCTACCTCTCTGGCTCCTTCTTGCCCCACTCGCATCCGATTGCAAGTGAAATACTCATGAAATGCACCGTCTCAGGGGAGAAAGTGGAGGGGGAAGCTTCTCCCAAGGGGGTTACCGCAAGGCCGTGGGTGGAAAGTGAGTGGGGAGGTTACCAGCGGCCAGCGCGGTGCCCTGGGAGTGCTGGGGATTTCCTCTGCCCGCCTCGGCCGCCCAGAATCGCCTCCCGCAGCAGCCTGGCGAGTTCTGAGGCAGCCCACGCTCCCGAGCAGCCCTGGTCACGTAGGGACCAGCAGGGGCTGGGACTGGGTGTGGAGACTTCAAACCCGATGTCTCCTGAGGGCCCCGCCAGCTCTGAGGCCTGGGTGTGGCAGCCCCTGCCCCCAGCTTCCACCCTGTTTCCCAACTGCTGCAGCAATGCAGTCACCATTGCTTCTTATTTCCTCTGTCCACAAGCAGCTGCACTCCTCGCTGCTCCTTCTCCATCTCCTTGGCTGTTTTCTCTCCCACTATCTGTCCCTCTCAGTTTCCCTCTCTGCTCACTGATTGCTCTTCTCTGGGGGTCTTACCCACCAGTCACTAGGCACATGGTTCTTATCTATCCTGCTCCAGCCAAGACCCCCTCCTCCCAACCCCACCCCTGCGGAACTCCAGAGCCACACACCAGCTTTTGCTGGATCTCGAACTGGGTGCCCAAGAGACCTCTCAGATTAGCATGCCCCAAACTGAGTCCATCAACCCGGCTCCCCTCCCACCCATCCTGATTAGAATATGGGTGTCACTCTTGACACTGCCCTTTCTTTCACCTCTGCATCCAAACAGTCCCCAAACCCTGCCGGTCACAACTCAAGAATAACTCATAAATTAGTAGTGTGTCTGTCGGCAATGCATAAGGCTGCAGGGAACAGAGGAACTGACGGTGACTGAAACAAACAAGGGCTTATGCTTTCACATAACAAGAAGTCTAGCAGTTGGCCTCATCTGGTTCTGCAGCTCAGTGACTTCAAGACCAGCATCCCAGAGACTCCTGTGATCATGCTCATGTTTTTGCCTCATGGATGCAATATGGCTGCTGCAGGTCCAGATGTCACACCTGCTTTCCAGGCAGACAGAATGGGGAAGGGGAGGAGACCATGCTGGCCTTTTCCATCCTTCTGGATTAAGAAAGCAAACGCTCTCCCAGCGGCCCCTGCAGCAGATTTCCTCTTAGGTCTCATTGGCCAAAACTGGTCACATGGTTCTCCTAGCTACAAGGGAGGCTGGGAAACAAGAATGGGATTATTATGTTTGGCTCAGACCCATCCTGATCTATCAACTTGGGGCTAGGCATTGAATAGAATTGAGCTTAATTAGCAGGAGGAAACAAGGGACACAAAGATGGAACAGTGTCTGCCAAGGGTGGTGTCCCTCATATTTGTCCTCTCCTCCTGTCCCCACTGTCGGGCGCAGGCCCACATCCTCTCTCAGCTGGACCACTTCAGGGCTTCCCAATGGTGCTCTGTCCCTTTAGTCTCTGTCCTCCTTTCCTCTCCATCGGCTGCCTGAGTTGACCTCCTAAAGCCAGGATCCTATTGTGTTTCCACTCTTCTGAAGTCTTATGTGGCTCCCAGTTGCCTATAAAAATCCTTAGCTCAGTGCTGGAAACCCTCTTCAGCCTGGCCTCATCCTCCTGTTCAGTCTCTGATCACATGAGACTGCAGCCATCCTAGACCTGGGCCCGCTGCTCGGACCTGGTAACCTCAGAGCATGCTGTTCCCTCTGCCCAGGAGGCCCTCCCCCCCAGAAGGCCCTCCCCCTTCTCCCGTCTGACCTGGTAGACTCCTATTCAGCCTTCTAGACCAGACCTGGATCGAAGGTCACCTCCTGTGTGAGGATTTCCCCAATCTGGACATAATGAGCCATTCTGTCTGCAAGACGTGTGTCAACAACTTTGTTTATCCCTGTGACCCAGGGCCTGGAACAGGGTCTGATATAGAGGGGGGGATGCTTGACACACTGTTCCCGGATGAATAACCCAGTCGCAAAGCGATTTGCTAGACTCTAACGTGGCTGTTGACGTATGGACCCGACTCCAAGTGCCTTCACTGTCTAGGTCGTCTGGTCTGTGTCGTGGTGCGAGAGGGGTGTCTGATGGGGGGTGCCGGATACACCTTGGTTCCCTTTACACACGGCCTCACCCCCAGGGGACACCGAACCCAGCAGGGTGATAACCAGGATTTCTTCTGCCTCCCTCAGCGACTTTGACCAGCTTCCCGACGACGTTGCCATCTCAGCCAACATCGCCGACATCGAGGAGAAGAGAGGCTTCACCAGCTACTTTGTAAGAGAGCCACCTGACCTTTACCCTCTGGCCTCTGAACCTTGACCCTCTGACCTCTGAACCCCCAACTCTCTCATTGCTTCACTTCTATCCCAGTGGTTCTCAACAGGGTGATTCTGCCCGCCAGGGGATGCTCAGCAATAAATATCCTGAGACAGTTTTGTTTATTACAACTTGGGGTGGGGCGTCTATAGTGTGGAGTCCAGGGATGGGGCTTCCCGCCCTGCGGTGCACAGGACAGACCCCACATGTAATTCCAAGGTCGGGAAGCCCTGCTCTGACCCTAGACCTCTGGACCACCACCCTTCTGGGCCCCTGGCCTGCGAGGCCCCACCCACACCCTCTGTCCTTAGGTTTTTGTCATCGAGGTGAAGACGAAAGGGGGAGCCAAGTATCTCATCTACCGCCGCTACCGCCAGTTCTACGCCTTGCAGAGCAAGCTGGAGGAGCGCTTCGGGCCAGAGAACAAGACCAGCCCCTTCACTTGCGTCTTGCCCACGCTCCCAGGTAGGCCGGCCGGCCGGCTGCCCCAGGACAGAGCTGCATCCACCTGCCTCTCCTCCCAGCTCTGCTGATGCCCTTCGTGCTTCTATTTTAGTGCATGTGAAAACCGTTCATTTAGTCCGTGGCCCCCCTCCTGCCAGTCAGCGCTCGCTGCCACCTCTAGCTCTCTGGCCTCAGAGTCCTTGACCCCCTGTGCTCCGATGACCTTTACGGCCGCCCTGCTTCAGCCGTCCACCACCGAGGCCAGGTTTGGAGCGCATCGGCCCCCACCCATTCCCATGTCTCCCTCATTAAACACACAGACTCATCCAGCCTCCCTCCGGCCCCTCTGTGAGCACTGCCCTCTGACTCACCAGCTCCCCGGGGCTCCCCCTCCTTCCTGCTCTGCTGGGATGCTGTGGGTGACACACTCTGCTTTTGGACAGTCCCCTCACCCTCTGCCTCCTGGCCTTGCTTCCCAGCTAACACGCACCTTGGCCAGGCCCAAATCCCTGGCTCCTCAAGGCCAGCTCTCGTGAGCTCAGCAGAAGGAAGTCCCCCTGGAGTGGGGTGTAGGGTGGTCTGGCTGTGCTCGCCACACTCCGCAGGCTGCACACAAAGGGCAGACACTTCCTTTTTTCCAGGCTCTAAACCCCACCTCCAGCTTGCTCTCTGCCTTAGCAAATGCCTGAGGTTCCCCACATCCAGCCCCGGGGAGGAAGCTGTCTCCAGGGGCCTCACTGGTCCCTTCACTCCGCCCCTCCCTCGTCCCTGGTGCCAGGGAGAAGGGTCTTTCCTGCCCTTAGATGAACCTCTCCTCCAGGCTCCGCACTTTCCCCTGGCATCTTGTTCCGCATTTGCCCTGTAGACTCACCTTTGTCTACTGACTCTGCCAAGCTTCTACAGGGGCAGCTGGGTTCTCTTCCATTTTCAAACAAGCACATGCCGGAAGTGAGCATTCTGGGCCACAAGCTTCCTTGAGCCCCTAGGGCCCTCAAAGATCTCTCCTTCTTTGATGATAAATCTTCACTTGCTCAACCTCTGCTCAACCCCCCAGCTTAGTTTTAGCTCTTCTTCCTCCGTTGAAGTTCCCTCTGGATGGTGACCTGTTCACTGATCCATGGCCACATCCCAGACCTCATCTTCGACGTCTTCCTTCTCCCTCCAGGAAGCTGTCTCCAAACTTCTATGGCACCAGCGTGTCCCAATTCCCTTCTGACCTCACTGCTGCTCCTTCAGCTTCTTACAGAATCTGTCTCCTCTGCTGCTCCTTCAGCTTCTTACAGAATCTGTCTCCTCTGCTGCTCCTTGGAAAGTGGGCGTCCTCTGCACCATCGTCTTCCATCTGTCTTCTCACTCCCCCTCTCCCAGACAGTCTGACCTGTGCCAGTGACTCTAACTGCCCCTTTCTTGCCACTAACCCCTCAATGTCTAACCCAGATCTCTGATGCCACTCCCCTGCCACCGCCAGACACCAGCCCAGTGTGTCTCATGGGCAGTGGGCAGCGGGAGCCAGACTCATTTCAGCTTGGCCTTCCTGGGGGCTCTCTGGGGTGGTTCCCCCAGGGCCTGTGCCTGAGGGTCCTGGAGAGCACATCTGTCTTTGATCAGCCACCACCTGTCTTCCTTTCCCCACAAACACTCTACCTTCTCTACCTTGCTTTATTTATTTTTAATAGTAGTGTATATCTGTTAATCCCAAACTCCTAATTTATCCCTCCACACCACTTTCCCCTGTGTGCCTTGCTTTTGAGGAATGATCCAACCATCCACTCCACAAATATTTATTGATTTGGGCATTATCCTACGCCGTGGTTCTTAACCTTGGCAGCATATTGAAAGTATCCTGAGACTTAAAGAATCCTGATGCCCGAGTCCCACCTCCAGAGATTCTGACTGAATTGTTCTGGGATGAGTCCTACATAGTGAGATTTTAAACGCTCCTCAGGTGACATAAACGTGCAGCCAAGGGTGAGGACCAGTGTCCTAGGTGATGAGGATACAGCTGTGAGCCACGCTGTTCTCTTGGAGCGAAGAATTGTGTGTGTGTGTGTGTATGTGTGTGTGTAGGAACAGGTGGTAAATAAACAATTAAAATAGGAAAAATACCAGCTGGCGTTAGTACCACTCAGAGAATGCAGGTTGGATGGTGGCCACTTCAGTGCTGTGGAAAGATGTGGGGGGAAAGTGCTGAGCCAATGGGGAGGGTTCCTGGCCTGGGTGGGCAGCTCTGAGCCCAGAGACCTCACTCTTGGGCCAGATTCTCAGGACAGCTCTTTGCATCTCCTCAGCCAAAGTCTACGTGGGTGTGAAACAGGAGATCGCTGAGGCGCGGATACCTGCCCTCAACGCCTACATGAAGGTAACAGTGGGGCCAGACCACGTGGCAGTTAGGAGGGCATCGGATGCTACAGACACGGAGGGCCCAGGTACCATCCCTGGGCCATGGATGGATGCCCTTGTTTATTCCCCAACCTGTAAATTGTTGGCGTCCTTAGGAGACAGGAGCACAAAGGAAGGAGCATCATAAGGGCAAAAACCAGGCTGGTCAGGAAAGGCCTTTCACCAATTAGAGCTGTGCAAGAAAGGGATAATGTGCCTCATGAGATAGTGAGCACCCCATCACTAGAGGCATACAAGCCGTGATTGATGGCAACTTCAGGAAACTGGGGAGGGAAGCTTTCTTCATAGCCCAGAGTCATCCTCGCAGACTCCTCTCCCTCCTCTTCTACTCTTATGGAAAAAGAGCACCGTGCTAGGAGTCTCTTTAGTCTTTGCTCTGACACTGACTGGGTGACTTAGGGCTAATTGCTTATTCTGTCTAGGCTTTGGTTTTCTCACCTGTGAAACAGGGCAGTGCCCCCAGCTCTCTGGTCTCACAGGAGGGGAGTAATGTTGGGATCTATTAAGAAAAGGACAGGAAAGTGCTTTGTAAACTGTGAACCTGCTTTCAGAATGTGAGAGATTGTGACTCCGAGTGGAGTGAGGGAGCAGGAGGAGAGCAGAAGAGGTGGGCAGAGGGAGGAGGTGGCTGCAGGAGTCCTGGGCTCTGGGCTGAGAAGAGGTAGGATGCAAAGGCTTGTGGGCTCCAGCATTGGCAGCATCTCCCCTCCAGGGGGCGCTGTGACAGTGGCTCCTGCAGGGTGGCTGGAGGCTCCACTCTCCTCCAGCGGGTCTGGAGAGGGAAGTGGGTGCTGGTGGGAGGGAGGAGGGGCTGTGGAGCTGGAGCTTTTTATTCCACACCTGGTCTTAGCAACCAGCAGCCTGGCGGATCCCGTCTCTGCCTGTCTGTGTATGGGTGGGCTTCTCGAAGCCCAGAGGTCAATCAGTGCAGGAATCTGCTATGGTAACCCCACCCTGGGCTTGAAACGTTCAGAGACGGGGAGCTCACCCCTGACCCAGGCCACTTGTCCATTGTTCGACAGCTATTAGGAAAGCCTGACTCCCTGTAATTTCTACCCACTGGTCTCACCTCTGTCCTCAAGAAGAATACGGCTCCTGTGGTAATGACAATTGCTGGAACTATGAGGAGTGCTCTGACAAGCAACCAGGAGGTTCTTGATACGCATTTGTTGGATAAATGGATAGGCTTACTTAATTCCCTCAGTAGCTTGTGAGTTCAATACTCTGATCCCTATTTTAAAATGAGCGAATGGAGGCACCGAGAGGGAGACTCACTCACTCAGTGTCACAGAGCAGTTAGGATGGGATTTGAACCCACATCTCTGGGACTCCAAGATTGTGCTCTTAGCCACTGTTCTGGGTTACAATAAAAGTGACAGCAGCAATGATAATATCCAGCCTGGATGGGGCCCTTGCTGGGTGCCAGACGCTGTGCTAAGTGCTGTGCACGTATTTAATTTAATCCTTACACAATCCCACGAAGGAGATACTATCATCCCCATTTTATTTTATTAACGAGCATACAGAGGCACATTTGCCCAGGGTCTCCCAGCAGGTGAGCGGCAGAGCTGGGATTCTATGCCGGGCGCAGCCTGGCTCTGTCTGTGCCTTTAAATCCACCTTTGGGCTGCACCGCCCCTCCTCCTCTGCCCATAGGACAGACTCCTTTCTTCCAGGCTCTGCATTTCCAGTTCCTCTGGGATGGAGTTCCCAGCCCCTCCCCATCCTGCTGCCCCTGTGGGATTCTCTGAGGGGATCCGAGTGCCTCTGGAGCTGTAGCCCCCAAAGCCAACCACGGTGCTCCTGGGGACCTGTGTAGTGGGCAGCCTCGGGGGACTGACCTTGCCAGGTTCTGGGTATCTTTGTCCTCACAGCCTGAGGATTTTGCATCATGGTAGGTGTAACCAGCATCACATCAAGAGTCCTGACCCCACTGCCTCCTAGCTCTGCCAAGCAGCCCAGGCACCTTCTCACTCTGAGCCTCAGTTTCCCCAAGTGTGACATGAGATAAAGTATCAGGAAGTGGCTTTAGGCTATAATACCACCAATTATTGTTAATTTGATTTATTTAGGGGAGCCTTCCTTCACTATTGTCTCCTTTTGACCTCAGGGGTGGGCCTTGGTGGCAGATGGCTCAGGATGGCCAACTTTGTTGCTTGCTAAGCTGTGTGGCCCTGGGCAGGTCCCCTCACCTCTCTGGCCCTCACTCCTAGGTTATTGTCAGATGGAGCGAGGTCACACAGTGACGCTCAGTGCAGGGCATGGACAGTCACCACCACATCACGTTACCCGTCATCACTTTACTGTCATGTCTGGAGGCCTTTGGGTCTTTTTCTAAATGAACTGTTCTTAAGCAAGTTGGGTCCCTCCTGACCTTGAACCCAGGGGCAAGTCTTGTGAAATGTTACCATCATTTCATTTAGGGTTAAAAATATGTCTAGTTTCTGTGATCAGGCAGAGAAGCATTAGTAGAGAGGCGGGGACCAGTTTGGGGCAAGGGGATGGAGCAGCTGGACTGGGATGTCGGGACCTTTCTGCTGACCACCCCACCTGCGCTGCCTCCTCCCCAAACGCAGCACCTCCTCAGCCTGCCCATCTGGGTGCTGATGGACGAGGATGTCCGGATCTTCTTCTACCAGTCACCCTACGACTCAGAGCAGGTGCCCCAGGCTCTCCGCCGGCTCCGCCCACGCACCCGGAAAGTGTAAGTGACCAGTCCCTGCGTTCCTGCCGGCCAGAGCCCTGGACCACTTGCTCCTAACCAGTGCTCTGTCCCAGAGGTCCTTGCTGCTAAGGCACTTCTTTTCCCTGGAAGAAGAGAAGGAACAGAGACCAGGCCCATCCCTGAGCACTACAGGGTGGTTTGGCTTGTTAGGTGAGCTTGAACAAGCGTTGGTCCTACAGGGACAGAGAGTGCGTGTGGTTCGATGTGTGACAGTGAGAACTGGAGGACAGGCCTGGACCAGTGATGGGGAGAGTTTGGTGCCACAGCAACCACTGGGGATGGCCTAAGGACTCGGTGCCTGGAGAGAGTAGGGAGTGGGGAAGGGGTTGGGAGCCACTTTGTCTGCAAACAGTCCTCCCAGCATCTCCGGGAATGCTTCATCCCTGGTGAGTTTTAGTTCCGTGGGGCTGCTGTGGCTCCTAGTGTATCATGCTGTCCCCCAGGGGATGCTGCTGCTCACTCCCTTATTCCAAAGAGCCCGCCACTCCCTCCAGCTCCCTCTTAAACAGGGAAAAAAATCATCGAAAATCCAAGCCACTGAAATAGAGCTGAGCTCCCAAATGTGAGGCTGCTCAGAATTCCAGGTACAGCGCTCCCGAGCCCCGCCCTCCAGCCAAGCCCCTCCCTCCTTCCTCCTGCCAGTATCTCTGAGTGTCCTTGCCCTTGTGCTGCCTGGCCATTTCCCCTCTGCACCTAGGCAGGTGTGGCCTGACTTCCAGCCGTGCCTCACAGCAGGACTGGGTCCTGGAGCAGAGCAGGGCACTTCTTGAAGCCCATTTCCTCAGCTGAAAAATTAGAGGTCTAATGTGGGGAGTAATACGAAAGAGTCGGCAAGCTACAGAACTAAACAAGTGTGTCTCCCCATCCCCGCCTCCTTCCTGAGCCTCTGCTTCTTGGTCCACAAAGCAGGGATACAATCCCTCGTCCACGGCCGTGAGAACGAGGGGAAGTGTGCTGGCCAGAGAAGTAAGTGTAGCTGCATTTTTTCCTTTTTTTTGAGTATAGTTGATTTGCAGTATTGTGTTAGTTTCAAGTGTACAGTAAGGTGATTCAGTTATACATGTATATACTTTTTTTCCAGATTCTTTTCCGTTATAGGTTATTACAAGATAGTGAATCTAGTTCCCTGTGCTGTAGAGTAAACCCTTGCTTGTCTATTTTACACATAGCAGTGTGTATCTGTTAATCCCACATAGCTGCCTCTTTAATACCTTCTCCTTTCCTCACCTTTCCTGCTGCTGCTGAGGGCCTCCTCTGGGCACAAAAGCAGGGAGTGGACCCTGGGGGGCACCAGGAGGGATGACAAGCCTCTCTTCTCTCTCCACAGAAAGACCGAGTCCCCACAAGGTGCCGGCTTTGACCGCATGGCAGCTCCACGAGCGGAGGTACCCCCGCTGGGCCAGGCCCTCCCACGGCACCCCTGGCCTGCAGCCTGGCTCCACCTTTCAGCCACTGAACCCTTCCTGCTGGCGCCTGCCGTGTGCCTAGGATGGGGCTGGGTACCGGAGGGAGGAATGACCCACAGCCTCAGCCTTGGACACCTGAGGCCCCCAGCCACCTGAGCGGAGGGGATGTGACGGGCACAAGACTAGAGCAGAGGGGAATACATCCATCAGTTATTCATTCCATAAGTTCTGCTGGGTTAGCCCCGCGTTGGGGACTGAAGCCTCAGAGGTGACTCAGACAAGGTCTTGTCCTCAAGGGGCTCACAGCTCCCCAGGGATGCAGACTTAGAAATGGATTTTTAAAAGTAGTGTGATCAGTGCCCTGGGAGTTATGGGGGCACTGGAGTCCCCAGTGAGGCCTGGGGCCCAGGGAAGTTGGCTGATCCAGAGAGTTTAGATCCTTGTCTCTCATGCTCATCCCAACAGGAAGAAGCACCCATTCTAGAGTCAGGGAGAACTGGGTTCTACATGCAGCTCCTCCACTAACAAATAGAGTGGCCTCAGACAAGTCACTCATCCTCCCTGAGCCTCAGTTTCTTCACCTGTTAAATGGGACACTGAAGTATGTAAAAAAAACTTCTTTAGGAACTCAGTGAATGTTTCCTCCTTCTTTCCTTACTCTGCTTTTCTCCCCAGGCCCTGTTTGACTTTACCGGGAACAGCAAACTAGAGCTGAATTTCAAAGTTGGAGATGTGATCTTCCTTCGCAGTCGGATCAATAAAGACTGGCTGGAGGTAAGGTTGGAGGTGAGGAAGGACATGAGAATGGAGGTGAGGAACGAGATGAAGATGGAGTTGAGGTTGGAGGTAAAGATGGAGGCAAGGACAGAGGTGAGGATGGAGGTGAGGAAGGAGATGAGGATGGAAATGAGGTTGAAGGTGGGGATGGAGGGTAAAGTGAGAATGGAGGCAAGGATGGAGGTGAGGTTGAAGGTAAAGATGAAGGTGAGGATGGAGGCAAGTTTGGAGCTGAGGATGGAGTTGAGGCTGGAGGTAAGTTGGAAATGAGGTCGCTTTGAGTCTGGTGGGGAATCAGAGAATGAGGAGGGATCTGAGAAGGTCCCAGGGAAGAGATGTTATTCAAAGACAGCCCTGGAGATCTGGGCAGGTGGATGGGGGAAGCCTGAGGAAATACAGTTGTGTGTGGCTGATGCAGAAGATTCTGGAGCCTTTGGTGCTGACCCCAACAAACGGTTGCCTTGGGCAAGCCAGTTATCCTTACGAGTTTAATTTCTTGGTCTTAATCTCCTGTGACAGGGTATCTCAGCCTGTTCACTACTGGCATGTGGGGCCAGGCGGTTCTCTGCTGCGGGGCTGCCCTGTGTGTCCCAGGATGTTTAGCGGCATCCTTGGCCTCCATCCACTAGATGCCAGTAGCACCCTTCCAGCTGCACCAGTCAAACGTGTCCCCAGGCATTTGGCCCTGAGAGGCAAAATCACGCCCAGCTGAGAAACGCCATCTGTCATCTGGGGTAATGTTCCTTACCTTGCGGGCAGCGAGTGAAGCGAGTGAGGAAGAGCTTGCCTCTGGAGTCTGGCGTCACATCCTCGCTGTTTTTAGCTGGCTCTGCGACATTGGGTCGCTTGCTCAATCCCGTGGTTTCCTTTCCCGTAAATGGAGATTACACTGGCTGTTTCTTAATAGGTTTCCAGGAAGGGTTAAAGGAGGTGCGGCTATTCAGGGCTCGGCCAGCAGAGAGCTTGGATGTGAGGTGTCCGGCCGGTGCTGGGGCCGCTGGGGGAGTTTAATGAGGCTCTGAAGCCAGAACCTGTCTTGGTCATGCTTTGTCACTGCACATCCCTGCGCGACCAGCGTGGCCCATACAAGGGCTCACGACTGGAGACGGGGGGAAGGGCACCACGTGGGAGGCCCTGGCCTGGTGCCAGCCTTTTGGATTAAGTCCAGTTGTTATTAAAGATCCCCTTCTCTCAGGGCTCCTGAGTGGGTGTCTGAAGGAGGTTGTGGGTCAGGTCTTGAGGCAGGGCCAGCGCCCAGGGGTCCTGGGACCACTGAGGGGAGGGGAGGGTCCTTGGCATCCAGGGGCTGAAGAGCAACAAGGACCCACCGTGTGTCTCACCAGCTTGGCAGTTTTGATTTTACCCTAGTCCTGGAGCCCCGTCTCAGGCACTCAACAGCCCTAAGAGCTTCCTGGGGGGGTATTTCTGGGGCATTCTCCAGAAACAGGAAACGTTTGTTGACCTGTTTTCTAGAAAGTTCTATGTATCAGTATGCTGGCCAACTCCTGACCTCAGACTGAGGGGAGGGTTAGGGGAGGAGCGAGAATATACTATTTCAGCCTCAGTATATCCATCTGTAAACGGGATGTAAACAATGTGTCTCTCCATAGGATGGAGATGATTAAGAGAATGTGGGACAGGACTTTAGAAGAGAGGCCTGGCTGGAGGGAGATTTCTGGCTTTTTGGTCTACAGCAGGTGGTATCCATGGAATGAATGAATGAATGAATGGGCCCCACCCTTTCCCGCATTTTATTTTTTTCCTGAACACCTACCACGCTCTGACTCACCACAAAGTTCACCTGTTTATCTCTGCACCGTCTGTCGCCCTCCCGCACAGTGGAAGCTCCAGAAGGAAAGGCAGGGACTTTGATCTATTCTGAGTGCCCAGGGCCTACCCCAGAGCTGGCGCTCAAGAATGAATGAACGACTGAGTGTGTGGTTAAATGAATGAGATAAAAGCAGCTTTCTGGATAAGTTCAGGTCTTGACCTGTTCTAAAATGGATATCTTGGGGTGAACAGCTTACTGACCTTGCCCACTTTTTCTCCTCCGTTTGCATAAGGGAACCCAGACCTCATCTGTCTTTCCCCATCATTATAAAGGGGCCAGGGTCCCGAGGCATGGCCCCACTGCCTCTCCTGGCCCCCACAGGGCAGTGCCTTCTTTCCCTCTCAGGGCACTGTCCGGGGAACTACAGGCATCTTCCCAGAGTCCTTCGTGAAAATCCTCAAGGACTTCCCGGAGGAGGAAGATCTCACCAACTGGCTGCGATGCTACTACTATGAGGACACCATCAGCACCATCAAGTTCGTGGCCTGCTGGGAGGGAGGGACCTGTCCTCCCCCGCTGCCCACCCCCACCTCTGTATCACACTCCAGGTTCCAAGACCCAAACCAGATTACATGCCCCCACCCCTACCAAACACACACACTTAAAAGTCTGCAGTGGTTCCCACTGTCCTCCAGACAAGCCATACCACTGTAAAAATATCAAGGTTCCATGTAGCATGGCCAGCCTCATCCTGTGTCCCCTTTCTGGCCTGCTGCCTCCTCACCTGTGCCTGTTGTCCCCTTAGGGACATCGCGGTGGAGGAAGACCTCAGTAGCACCCCACATTACAAGGATTTGCTGGAGCTCATGAGGTGAGGGGCTGGGGCAGGAGGAGGGCAGGAGGGTACCAGAAACCCTGGAGAAGAGACCAGAGGGAGAAACACAGCGCATTCAGGTACTGGGTGCTTTACATCTATTTTGCTTTCTTGTTTTATCCACAGCCCAGCCCTGCAGGATGGGTATCTCCTCCTTGTATTAGATGAGTGGGGGGACCGCCGAGAGGTAAAGGGGCTTAGATGGGGTCACACAGTTTGTGAGCCTGAACTTGCAGCTAGAGCTAAAGTCTTTCTAGATCAAAACGTTGGACTTAGGCCCTCCACCACCAGGCAACTACCACCTCCCAAGTTTCGGTTTAGTTATGGGCAGTGATTTTACAGAATGGAAATAGCGTTGTTACATTTCTGACAATGAAAAGAATATCTTGTCATTATAGTTTAAAAAGGAGGGGAGGGGTCTGAAATCACAGAAGGGTATAAAGAAGATAGAGAATTCTCCTCCTTTTGTTAGCTGATGTGCATTTAGATTTTTTCAATGCACACCCCACCCCTCCCCCAGCCCACAGCCCCATAAATCTTACTTTCACTGGCTTCACGACATCATTCTGTGGATGCTCCGTAACTAATGCAGCCAGACTGTTTTGTTGGCCATCTAAGTCATCTTCCACTTTTTTACTACTGTGAAAAATGTTGTGATTCACGTATTTGCTGACTTCCCTGATTATTTGTCTGGAAGTGAAATTTTGGGATCAAGCTGTTTGCAAGTCTGACAGGCTGCTGACCCATTTTGTCAAATTACCCAAGAAAAGGCCTGATGGCTTTTCACTGTCACCAGAACGCCCATCTACCTGCAGCCCACATCAGACAGGTCCAGTCCTTAAGGAGTTCTGCTCCAGAGCCACACTCGGGGCTCTCCCAGGGGCTTTATTCTGCTCCACTCTGCGCCCAGCAAATCCCGCTCCTCTTCCCCACAACAGTCCTTAAATCTTCAGCACATTTAGACACAAGACATTTCAGGCTGTGCCACTAATTTCTTGTGAAAGTCCTGTTCTCCCCTGCAGGTCTCAGTGTCCCCATCTGTACAATGGGAGGTTGGATCACTCGGATGATAGGGCCGGTGTCAAGCGCTGACCTCCTCCAGATTCTTGGATCCCGGCCCTAAAACCCCCTCAATCCCCTCTCCCTTAGGTCACTCTTTGGCCTAAGGCTGCGGGGCCTTTCCTGAACCCTGATCTCTCCCACCCAGGCGGGAGTTCCAGAGGCAAGACATCGCCCTCAATTACCAGGATGCTGACGGGGATCTGGTTCGGCTGCTGTCAGACGAGGATGTGCGGCTCATGGTGAGGCAGGCCCAAGGTCTCCCCTCCCAGAAGCGCCTCTTCCCCTGGAAGCTGCACATCACCCAAAAGGACGACTACAAGGTCTACAACACGGTCCCCTGAGCTGACCGTGTCCCCGGGCCAGTGCGGGGGCAAAGAGCCCTTGGAGGGGATTCAGACCAGGAAAGACTGGGAGCGCGGACAGACTTCCTGGTTTGGACTCAGACGGACCTGCTGGCCTCGGCTTGTACTGTCTCCACATTTGGTCTCTTGATTAAATAAACCATTTTATGTCAAAGGGCCAGACAGGGGAAGATAGTATCTTTCAAGGGAAGAGAGGCGAGGAAGTAAAATACCCATTAATGAGCATCGATTAGGGGTTGTTTAGATACAGACGAGGGGCGGGGATGGTGCTGGCTTTGGGCCTCTAATCCAGCCACCCCAGACCCTCTCCCAGTCCACATGTATGGAGAAACCCAGCGACTCTCTTTTGCAGCCTTTTCTGGCACTGGCTATCAGCCTCAAGGAAGTTATCCACCCCCAGGTGCCCTCAGGGTCAGGCCAATGCCAGGCGCTCTGCGTGACCAGGGTCAGAGTCTTCCTCCGCCCTATTATATCTGCTGTTCTGCAGAGGGGGCAGAGACCTGGGTCCTGGTGACTGCGCTCTCCTCTGTAAGCAGGGGGTGAGGGGAGGGCGGATGCTGGCCCCACCCGGGAGGAAGAGGAGGCAGAATGATGGGTCTCCCTCTGTGAGCTGAAGCTTTTCTCTCCTAGCCAGCCAAAATGTCAACAGATGTCACCTCCAGAATGGTGACATAAGGAGCCTGGTGGACCCTCTCTCCAATGAAACACCATTTAACTGATGAAAAATGCTTAAAGCCAACCATCTAAAGTCTCTGGAAATTGTTCTGAGGGCATACAGCAAATGGAGAAGCGTTTATTCTACAAAATCTCCTAAATCCCAGCAAGAAGAATGAGTCTGTGGCATTTGAGCCTCCATGTGCTCCCATCCCCTCCCCGCCCCCGGCTCCACGTGATGGAAATGCTACTCCGGATGCGACACGCTAGGTGGACACAGCCAAGAAGATGGGGGCTCCCTCTCCCCTCAGCCCCCAGTCTTTCGCCATTTCACCCCAGACAGGGCTGGCTGCCAGTGCCTCTCAACCCCTCAGCCCCGTGTTGTGGAAATGTCATTCCAGGCCATCACAGCCCCTGACATGGTGTACCAGGGCCACCATGGCACAGTACCACAGACCGGTGGCTCACACAACAGAAATTTATTGTCACACAGCTCTGGAGACTGGAAGACTGAAATCAAGGTGTCAGGAGGGCCAGGCTTCCAGCGAAGCCTGCTGGGAAATCCTTCTCTGCCTCTTCCCAGCTGCCAGTAGTTTCTCAGCGTTCTGTGGCTTTCCTTAGCTTGTAGCGCCTCACTCCAATCCTCCGTCTTCATGTGATGTTCTCCCTGCCTGTGTCCCTTCACATTGTTTTCCCTCTGTGAGCGTCTCTGTGTCCAGCTGTTCCCTTTATATGAGGACACCAGTCATACTGGATTAGGGCCACCCTAATCATTTCATTGTGACTTGATAGCCTCTACACAGACCCTATTTCCATGAAAGGTCACATTCTGAGTTACTGGGGGTTCAGACTCCAACATATCTTTTGGGAAAGCACAATTCAACCTGTAAGAACTCACTAGAACATTTGTTTAAGAAACATTAAACAGAAATTGCAAGGTCTATTGCATAAAATCCAGTTGTTTGACTTCTGACATGTTGCCTGACTCAGTTCCCTTAGGGCCCTAGTGCTGCAAAGCGCCTAGACCCTAGATAGATAGCACACACCTTCAGAGAATCCTGAGCATCATGAGAAGTAGCAGGTTCTCCCATGACCCTCCTACTCCCCTCCCCCTGCCAAAAAAAACCCTATGATCAGAGCTGGGACCAGAACCCACAGCCCTTGGGAGGTTGTTCTGCAATGCAGAGGCAGTGCTGCTGTTAGAATGCCGAGCCTCAGGGAGGCGACATGGGGAGGCTGGACCAGGGGCTGTTGTGTTGGGTCAAGGCCTGAGGGTACGGGTTGAGGTAATCCTGAGAGAGTGGCATCCCTGCCTCCAAGCAGAAGCAGAAGAAAATCTCCTCTGGAGTAAAGTGTCCCCAGTTTAGGCTGACAGGAGTCTCTCAGATTAAGATGAGGCAAAAGCTCATAGTCAAAAATCACTGAATCTCTGAGTGAGAATAGGCAGTGACAATAAATGATAGCTTTAGCTCCCCCAGGGACTACAGATTATTGAACTGCATGGCTAAATGTATAAAGAAATCAAGGATAAAATCATACAAATGAATGAGCTAAAGAGAATGGCCAGGCAGATTGGCAAAAGAAAGATGGATTATATATTGAACTTATACATGTACCTATATATAGGTGTATGTGTGTATGTGTACATCTGTTGAAACAGAAAATTCAGTGGGTGAGTTAGATAGTATATTACATACAGGTGAAGAGAAAGCTAGTGAATTGAAAGATAAAACCAAAGAAATTACCCAGAATATAGCACAGAGAGACAAGTAGTTGGAGAGTATGGAAGTGGAGTTAAGAGATATGAACAATAGAATGATATTTCTTAAAAATCAGAATCTCAGAAAGAGAAAATATAGAGAATGGCAAAGAGGCAACATTTAAATAGATGGCAGATGCACTATTTCAAAACTAATGAAAAACTTAAATCTATGGAGATAAGAAGCATGTCTGATTAGCAGGATAAATAAGAAGTGGTCACAACTTGTTACAGTATTTCAAACCCACAGAACATGGAAACCAAAGAGAAGATCTTAAAAGCAGTCAGAGAAATTGGAAATGACTGCAAAACAACAACAATTTGAATGAGAAGTGGACTTTTCAACAGCACCAATGGAAGCCAAAGCCAATATACTTATACCTTCAGATTTTTGAGGGAAAATAACTTTCAATCTAAAATTATATGCTCAGTGAAATATCTTTCAATAATGAAGGTGAAATGAGGTCAGGTACAGATGCAAAGTGAGAATTTGCCATCAAGATACATGAACTTTAAAGTCCATGCTCCAAGAGGCAGGACAATTGCCCTCAAGGGATAGTCTGAGATGCAAGAACAAATGATGAACAAAAATGATGGTGAACATAATTTTTGTACTTGTGTTGACTTCGCTAAACTGGAATTACATTTCCAAGAATTTCCTTCCCTGCATGGATCCAGGTTAGCGTGGGCCAGAAGAGACATTTTGCAAGAGACATTTAGAAAGCAGATGTGAAGTAGCAGCCAACCTCTTTTTAGCTCAGATAAGAAATGCTGTCCATTATTGTGCAAACAAGACTGCGTGGGTAACCAGAGAAATATTTTCTGACTGGTTAACAACCACCTGGTGCCAGTGGTGCATACTCAGGGCAGGCATGCTCCAGAATGGAGAAAAACACTTGCGAGATGTCATCAGCATTCCTGGAAAACTGCTCTGCACACCCCCTTCCTTTGATTTCTCCCCAGTGGGACTTGTGTATTACACCTGTGTACAAAGACTTTCTGAGCAAAAATAGACACTTTTTTTCAGACTGTGCGCACTATAATCATGGAGTCTAAGCCTCCATCACTCTCAGAAGAGTTCAGTCTTAAGAACATCATTTACACAATTGCCAACGTTTCGAACGATGCTGAAAAATCAACATTCACAGATGCCGATGTAGGCTCTGTCTGCAGTGATGTCAGTTCTCCCCGCTGACCCACAGGTAGCCACGAGTTTAATTAGAAAATACACTTCAGTGAATTTTTTGCTTTTGTTGTTTTGTTTAGAGTTTCATAAACGTATTCTAAAATTTATACTAGAAGAGTAAACGACTTGACATAGCCGATGTACTCCTGAGGAGAATAAAGTGATGAGACATGCCCTTCAGACAGTAAGACTTATTGTAAAGCAATGGAACTGAAAATGGTATAATATTTGCCCTGGGACTGACAGTTTAGCAACAGAACAGAATAGAGAGCCCAGGAATACTGTGCATATATGGCATATTTTATTCTTATTTTTAATTGAAGAGTAGTCGATTTATAATATTAGTTTCAAATATACAGCAAAGCCATTCAGTTACACATATTCATACATATATATTTTTTCAGTTTCTTTTCCATCACAGCTCATTCCAAGAAGTTGAATGTAGTTCCCTGAGCTATACAGTACATCCTTGTTCTTTAGTTACTTTATATATAATAATGTGTAACTGTTAACTCCAGACTCGCAATCTATCCCTTCCCCGTCTATCCCCCAAGCAACCACAGTTTGTTTTGTACATGGTATTTTTTAAATTGAAGTACAGTCACTTACAAAGTGTGAATTTCTGGTATACAGCACAATGTCCCTGTCATGCATATATATACATACATTCATTTTCATTTTTTTCCACTAAAGGTTATCACAAGATATTGTTTCCTGTGTTACACAAAAGAAATTTTTAAAATCTATTTTTATACACAGTGGCTTACATTTTTAAATCTCAAACTCCCGAATTTATCCCTTCCCATCCCCTTTCCCTGGTAACCATAAGATTGTTTACTACATCTGCGAGTCTGTTTCTGTTTTGTAGATGAGTTCATAGTGTCCTTTTTTTTTTTTTTAGATTCCACATATGAATAATATCATATGGTATTTTTCTTTCTCTTTCTGGCTTACTTCACTTAGAATGAAGATATCTAGGTCCATCCATGTTGCTGCAAACAGCATTATTTTATTCTTTTTATGGCTGAGTAGTATTCCATTGTATAAATATACCATAACTTCTTTATCCAGTCATCTGTTGATAGACATTTATGTTGCTTCCATGTCTTGGCTATTGTATATAGTGCTGCTATGAACATTGGGTTGTATGTATCTTTTCACATTAGAGTTCCCTCCAGATATATACCCGAAGTGGGATTGTTGGATCATATGTACATGGCATTTGATATATGATAGAAATTGCTTTGCAGACTGGGCGGGGAGAGGAGGGAAAAAAAAAATCAAAGAATAGCACTTGGGTAAATTCCTCACCTATATGGAACCCCAAACAAAGGATATTGGACCCCTAATTCAAACAACTCCCAAAGGCAGTTTTAGATGCATTAAGTTGTGGGAGGGAAAATCAAAGCTTTGAGAAGATATATAGGATATTGTCTACATAATCTTGGAGTAGGGAAGGAATTCTTAAACACAACAAAAATAAATATTAATAAATTCGATTACATTAAACTTAGGAAGTTCTGTTCATCAAAATTTGGAAGGGAAAAGTCTCCGGTTTTTG